CATAAAATGAAATTTTACTTATATTGAAAAATATTTCTTAAATCAAGTATATTTTAGATTTGTAATAATTTTAATCAAATATAAGATGAGATAAAATTAATTTAACTGAAAAACAAACGCACCTTTGTAGAGTGTATGAATCCGTTTTGAGAAAAGTGAATTTTAATCGAACTGTTTCCATTTGCATATCTAGCAAACGGAAACCATGTTTGTTTAATCACATCTATATTGCCGAAACTAGGTGTGTGTGCTAGACTTACCTCCACTTGGTGCATCCTGGGCAACGTATACTCATACGACAAAAAATTATACTACTTGGCAGTTGACTTCAAACTACCATGATCCCACTGTATGTCATATTCGACTACTTTCACAGTACTCATCCCACCTTTTCCACCTTATCTACCTTCGTCTTTGATACACTCTTCTGTTCCACCTCCCCCCCCCTTTTGATTTTTTACCTCTGTGAAGGCTGAAGTCAACTAAAGGGCTAATGATAAATGTGAAGACTGAAGTCAACTAAAGGGCTAATGATAGCAATCAAAAGACTGAAGTCAACTAAAGGGCTAATGATAACAATCAAAAAGCCTGCCATTTGATATAATAATAATAATAAGAATATTGTCCAAACGAAATGATAAAAATAAGTGTAATTTAATATTTATATCTGAGAAAGTCAGCATCGATGATAATCTAACCTGATTCAACTTAATTGAACATTTGGTTGAATTCATTAGTTAGCTTTTTTCAGGCACATTTTAATGGCTTACACTTGATGTGAATGCAAGCAAAGACAATTCTATTATTGTCACCTTTGTAGAAATAATTAAACCTGGTGATTATCAACCCGATATGTCAAATTCTCTTACTATTTTTCGATATGAATTGTTTGAAAAACATTTTAAAAAGGAAATTGATTGATTCTTGTTCTATAACATTGTCATTTCAAAACCGTTATGAGCGGTTTTAGGCACTTGGGGGTGTACAATACGAGTTAATAGCAACATTTAGTCCATTGAAGAAATAACATTTTAAGCGAATATAGTAAGAAAAGAATCTTATTGCTACCAATAAGATTTGAACGGATTGTGTTTTTTCTGTAATCCTAGTCTTAATAAAGATTGTTTTACATTTCAAATTTGCTTACGAAGAGATTATATATTTATTAAAAACAATTGTGAGTTAGGTTTGATGAAAGGAAAAAAATTAAAGTAAATGATTGACAGATTTCAATGTTTTTCGTAAACAGAAAACATGTATAAACCGATTAATTGAAAATGGAGTTTGGGCTCGAAATCATTAAAAGAGAACACAAGTTTAAGGCATTTTTTACTTTATTCACGAACCACGAATCGCTATTTTAGGAAAACAAAATAAAACGGTAAGTAGTTAATAATTATTAACAGTTTGTTTATCATATGATATATGATTATCACCTATTTGCGTCATTTATAAGCCTATGGCGATTACCTATTGAGATTAAGTTTACTAGAAGCCAAGTGCTTCAATTAAATTCTGGTGATTTATGATACCTCAACAAGGGGTGCGTGATAGACTTACCTCCACGTGATGCACCCTGGGCAACGTATACTTATACGGCAAAAAAGTCTATTAACTGGCGATTGACTTCTGGCACAGTACTCACCCTTCCTTTTCTCTGCCTTCATGTCTGTCTCTTTACATCTGTAAATCACTCTTTTGTTCTCCACCCCTCGACTTTCTGTTACTTTGATGTTCTTTCCCACTGTGAAGCCCGAAGTCAGCTAAAGGGCTAACGATAACTATCAGAACGCCTGCCATTCGAAATAAATAAATAAATGATACCTCAACAAATGTTGATACATTCTCCAAAGTAAATTATTTGCACTGTATTCGTTAACGCTTTGTTAAAAATGAATGCCGCATTTAGATAAAAGGGTTCAACTTCAGTGTTTCAAGAATTTATTTAATCTTGGCTACAATATATGCAGAATAAAACCCCTCTCTCCGCCCCATCCGCACACACACTTAATAATATGATAATAAAATATTATTATTATTATACTATTGTAATATTAATATAATTAATATATAATTGTTCATATATATATATATATATATATATATATATATAATTTGTTCTGTATGAAACATCCAGTGTTAAGTTTGAAAATTCCAAATTTAGAAAGGTCATTCTACTCTGCTTCTTAAATTTTTAGCATAATATATTAAACGATTACAACTCTCATGGCATAAACAAACAGTGCATTTTTAGAGTAGCCTGTGTACTTTTTTATAAACATAATTGACAAATTGGAAAATATTTATTTCAAATGGCAGGCGTTTTGATAGCTATCATTGGCCATTTAGCTGACTTCGGGCTTCACAGAGGGAAGGTTCATCAAAGTAGCAGAAAGTCGAGGGGTGGGGAACAGAAGAGCAATTTACAGATGTAAAAGAGGCAGACAGACACAAAGGTAGAGAATAAGGTAAGATGAGTACTGTGGAAGGAGTCGAATATGACAACCAGGGGGGTCGTGGTAGTTTGAAGTGAGAAGTCAACTGCCGATTAATAGACTTTTTTGCCGTATGGGTATACGTTGCCCAGGGAGCACCACGTGGAGGTAAGTCTATCGCACACCCCACAAATTGGAAAATAATGATTTGAATTGGGCTGTCTTTTGCCCAATTTATAATCTATACACCTTAATAACAAGACTGTCAATCATAGGAAAACTACTTTTATTTTATTTTCATAGCGCTTAGAAACGATGTCAAATCAATATTCTGCAAAGATCAAAAACTCTTCACATACAATTCAAAATGTTTGCTTGCATTTTCTTTAATTTGCATATATATATATATATTTATAAGCTAACAGTAGGCTAGTTTTCCAAAATATTTTATTGCCTTTTTAATTGAGTCACTTTTCACTATGCTAAATATCACAAGTGATTATTATAATACAGTCAAAACTCTTTTCATTCAGCTAAAACCCTTTTGTTTTGAATGGTATAAAGCAACTTTGGATTAAAGCCGAATCAAGTGAGCTCAAGTAGACTATTGTAGACACATAAATGTAAAACAAAGATGAGTGAATCATGGAAAATTACAAAACAATGGTTCTTTAACGGATTCCCGGACTCTTGCTGTGCCAATGCTTAAAAGACGCATAATCTGGCGGCGCACCAGATGGAGGCCAGCTCTACATATTATATCGTTTTATCGAATTAAAGATATTTCATTAGATGCGGCTTATTATAAATTAGCAATCACTTGACCTTGTCTAACTACTTCAAAGTTCTTGGCATGCCAAAAGACACATTTCATTAAATTATAAGTTTGAGATATATGGAAATGTGTTTATGGAAAATCTCAGTTTATACTAATTTTATAAACAGTAATCTGGGTTTTGACACCATTGCAGCCAGGTTTTAATGTGTATAATGTATTTTCTCTCAAATACCACCATTGCACGCACACACAAGTATCATTTCTTTTCGGCAGCATAACTAGTATAAAGACTCAATTTAAAAAAAGTAATTATGATGATAAGTTGTGATTCCATTATTTAGAAGTTTTAGGTCTCCAAACCCAAAGATGCTAGTGTGTATTATCTAGTTTTCTAAATAGCATGACATCAGGTTCAAATGAGCACACGCAGATTCCAATTGACTGCCTAATTATACCTTAATGAGATTTGATCAATGTATGCAAATCTAGTTAGGACAGAAATTAGATATGATGTAAAGTTTTAATGGAAGTGAATCGGGTTCTAAATGCCTAAGCTATATATTATCATGAAATATTATCTATTCGAACAATGTCTACTGCAATAAATGTTAAAGTAGTTTAAGATAGACTATCAAACCGCAATTGAGTGGTATTTACATTTCATTACATTTGGCTAAATCCCACCATTTTGCAAAGCTTTCTTTAAATGTTTATTTCGTCACATTTGTTTGATCTCTTCTTCAACCACGTAACATTATAATTTAATTTAAATGCATGATTACACCATTCTCATATAGGTATTTTTCTTCATTGTTTGGGTTTTTTACGCATTATGCGCTTTGAAGCAAAAATCATTAATCATTTTATTAAATTGCACTATTTAAAAGTAGTTGTCATTGATGAAGACATTGAAAGAGTGCAGCTTCTCTTTCCATACTTAGTCATATGCTGATTTGAAATTGATGAAAACAGTCGTATTAAATTACATTGTTTAAAAGTAGTTGTCATAAGCATATTTTTTCCTTTTCCAGTCTTCACAAAAAGGAGAAACTTCCACAATACAAACAGACAAGAATGATTGCCAAAGTGTGATGCAGAGATGTATAAGAGACACAAACAAAGGTGACGTAAAGGTAAGTTGAATAATGTTAAAGTTGTCGAACTATTTTGAAACAATTATTATTTATGACTGTATTGTGAATTTAAACTAAATTTTAGACGACGATAGTCAATCTAAATTAATTTAAAGTATGCCATTTATCAACAATTTCAATTTTTTTAAGTTAGAAGACCATGACTCCATATTAAAACCACAATTTTTTTTCTAGATGATATTATAGCTGATACGCCGAATTCTTCATTATTTAACATTCAGAAAATAGGCTTTCATTCTAATCTGTATAATTAGAAAGTCAAAATTTGAAACATCTAAAGAGTATTTAGCTAGTTTGTATCATTGAGGAAATGTATACGAACGAGCGTACGTAAGCCGTTGACACTTGACAATAGGATTTGCAGTGTACGTACGCATTTATTTCACCCACTGCAGCTAAAGAATTGACTGGGTCGTTCAATCACAATTTCAAGCACTTATGCACACAATTGTTCACCCAAATTTAAGTTTTAACTCACCTACACATAATCAACCCTGGACAACCTGTATTCATACTGCAAAAAGAACCATCACTGGTCACTGTGGCATTAAAAGCAATGAGCTTGCTGACGCAGTAGTTAAGAAGTGAACAACGACTTTGCAATGCATAGACCGGCCGATGTCTTTCCATACAATGAAGGCCTTAATCAAAAGAGAACCGGCCGATGTCTTTCCACACAATGAAGGCCTTGATCAGAAGAGAATTTCAGACCTCAAGATGCAACGAACTCAAAGCTCGAACAAAGGAGAAATAGTGGACTACCAACGAACTCAAAGCTCGAACAAAGGAGAAACAGTGGACAGTGGAAACAAAGGAGAAACAGTAGTCTGTGGCACTCTCCGACATAGCCAACTGGCCAAGAATCGAAGCCGTTGCTGAGTGCAGATTACGTGCTGGATACGATTGCTTGGCAAAACACCTTCACAGATTGGGTGTATACGATTGCTTGGCAAAACACCTTCACAGATTGGGTGTATACACTTAACCCACATGCCCTCTATATAACCTACAGAAGGAATTAGTGAAGACCCACCTGATTCGGTATCCATCCCTAAAGACTTTTACGGAAAGCCATTGATACTGGGTAGCAAGAAGACGGTAAATTGGCGGCTATTATTTTACTGTTATATATATATATATATACCCCCAGCAATGGCTAAAGCTAAAGCTAAAGTTTAAGGACTAATGATAAATATCATAAAAACCGCCATTCGAAATAATAATAATATTTATTCGCAACAATTTTTCAATAAACGAAAACCATACTCGTGGAAACAAGAACATACACCGCAGCATAACCTACATATCCAATGGCAAACGCTTCAATGATTTTTATTAACAAATTATGAAACTATTCAATCTGTACTAAATTGTGCTCTTTATTCCACTTCTGTAAATATTAAATTATTGCAAAATACTTTTAGCGAATCTTTAAATCTTGCTGAATGATGTTTGATTAAACAGTATGCATCAAGTTGTATAAAACACAATGATAATTTCTGAATTCATGATTTATACATCTTTTGGTGAGTTTGTAAAATGGCAGCATAACAAGATGAAAGTTTGAGGTTCACTTGATATCCAATGGCTGTAGCTACTTGAAAATCCACAAAGAGATTCCAAAAAGAACTAAATTGAGTAAAACATACAATTTCAAAAGGAAAGAGAAAACGGAACCCATTATAAGAAGACGACAATTTTAGTTAATAAATAACTTGCTTGTGAATGTGGATCTGATTGAGCAATCTATTTAGAAGAATAATAAAATCGATGAAAAGATGGGCGTATTTTTCGATGTATCCGAAGTAAACACAATTTTTATTACGATAATGATATTCTAAATATGCTTTTCAATTTATGTGAACGTCTAAATCAATGAACCAAAGAAATGACAAGTTCTATTTTAGAAAACAATTAGGACCTAAAATTTACTTGAATATGAACAATTTAATTAGCAGAACTTTTCAAATGTCAACTGCTTTCAATTAACTTCTTGTTCTGTCGGACAACATTCAAAATACATATAAATACTATTGTCAATTCCAATTTTCACTTACCACGGCTATACTCTGAAAGAAAAACAAAATGACAATGCTTTTAATGTAATTTGATTAATCGAGTTAATATTTTCTTTTCCCATAATTAAAAAAATATATATAATCTGTCACGCATTCAGTGTACTTATGTTAAAATTAATTTGTTTTAAAATTTGCCAAGCCCGTACCGCAAGCGTGAAATTGTAGGTTAATTACCAAATAGCAACGTGTTTTTTACAAATTGTGAGAGGTTTTATTAAGGTCAAAGCCATTGATAAAAAGGTGATCTTTATATTCCAATAGCTTTAACATAAGAAATTATTGTTTATTCATCCTTAAATAGAAACATCTGTGAAATGAAGAAAAAGTATATTTATATTTGGATTGTTTATTTCAAGTTTGCTGTTCCGGTTACCATTATGTTCAAAACAACATATTCAATTCACATTTGAAAGCTCTATTATCATATTAAAATAAATAAATTTAAATTGCCTAATTTGAATTCTTCTAAAAGGACAAACACACTTTACGATCACTTCAGAGGATTAGCGATTTTCGGATAAATGAAATATTTGATAACTGGAATTTAATAAATAATTTGCATTCTATAATAATATTTAAGACATTATCACTTAGTAAATAGAGACATTGTGAATTTCGATTGTAAAGTTAAAGACATTATATTTTACAAAATAAAACTTACTTCTACACTCGGCGTAATCAGGAGACTCTCCTAAATTTAGATTAGAGAATTTAAAGCAACTCAACACAACAGTAAAGGAAGTATTTTAAATTGAAACTACCATGTTTCATCCAATAGACAGTAACTCCTACACTTGA